TGAACGAAAGCAAACCTTTTGTGACACCTTCAATGAAAACGATCAATGCATTTGTTGTGAAAACACATCCAATGTAGAAACCCTTGAAGACCCAACTCCCATGGGTGATTTGGACAGGGGTGAAAGTTTGGAAACGTTGTATGGGGAAACAGATTGGGTTGATGTTGAGCACCATCCTTTGTCCCCGAATTCCAAAGAATGCATTGAGAATGCACTGAAAGCCTTGAGCCGAGTTCCGTGTCGACTGGCGTTGTCACGCTTGCTCGCCGATCGCCGTCGCGTTCGGGAAGAACTTTGTGAATGGTTGGGGAAACAATCTTGGAAACTGGATAAGAAAATCGGTTTACTTGAGGTGTACACTGGAAAAGCCCCCCCTCTCCAAAGAGTTCGAGAAGCGTTCAGGTCAACACAGCATTCGCCTCGGGTATCAATTCGGCCAAGATTTCGCAAACCCTGAAGATCGTCGTAAGTTGCTGCTTTTGATAGGTTTCTGTAGGCCTGATCACGTGTGGTTTTCATTCCCGTGCACATGTTGGGGTCCATGGTCAAGATTTAACATTGCCACTTCAGAAAAGAAACGTCAAACAGTTGAGACCCAGAGAAAACGGGCTCTTCAAATGTTGCATAATGTTTCTGAAGCTTGGTATTTGCAAGTGACCTTGGGCGGCCATGCACATGCAGAGAACCCACTCAGTTCAGATGCCTGGAAACATCTACGAGTCGGTGAAGCTTGGACTGTCAGGATAGATCAGTGTTCATTGGGACTCCGTAGTCCTAAGAACAATCTGCCTGTGCTGAAGCCAACGCGCATCATCAGCTCTCAGGAATCATTCGTCAAGAGCATTGCATCGCGCCGATGCAATCAGCAGCATAAACATGACCATCTAGAAGGGAAGTATAAGGGGATTAATCTAACGAGTTGGGCAGAGACATATCCTCAAAAGTTCTGTAGAGTCATGACCAAGGGACTCCTCCAATGTAATCCATCCCAAATCAAAGTCAAAAGCTTAGAAGACATCTTTGCTGAAGATGATGCATTGGACGAAGCCGATGAACTCGCAGAAGCTGAGCCGCCTCAGCTAGAGCCGGACAACCCGCCCAACCGTTCGTTGAATCCTCGCCATTTGAATGTGGCAGCCTTGGTGAGAAAACTTCACGTGAACACCGGACATGCATCCGTGGAGCAACTCCTTCGGCTGGCCCATAGATGCAAGGCAAGTCAGGATATTGTCCAAGCCATTCGCGCGTTCACCTGTCCTGTCTGTGAAGAACTTAAGACACCGCCTTCTCACAGACCGAGTGCCATTCCGCATGCAGAGAAGCCCAATGAAATCGTAGGTGTAGACTATGTTCAAGTAGAGTTGAAGAAAGAAAACGAATCAGGAAAGGTGACCGAGCGGAAGTTCAATGTCCTCACTTGTGTCGACTTAGCGACAAGTTTTGCGCAGCAGATTGTGGTGCCGCCTGGACCTGGTATGTTGTCAAAGAGTTTCCATCAAGTTTGGAGTAGGCCATATGGACCACCCAAAATAATTTATATGGACCCAGCATACACCAACATATCCAAAGATTTCCAGCAATACTTGCAGCACTATGGAATATCTCTTTTGCACTGTGCCGCTGAAAGCCACTACCAAATAGGACAAGTAGAAATAGCAAACAAGGTCTTAAGAAACATGGCACAGCATGCATGGCAGACAACTGACCGCTCTGCCGAAGAAGTCATCGAGATTTGTGCTTCAGTGCGGAACGATCATTTGCGCAAGTCAGGATTTTCGCCGTCGCAGTACTTCCTGGGACGTGAACCCCGTCATGCTGGCATGCTGTCCGACATCTATGAACAAAACAATCCAGCAACAGCGTCCCAGTACCTCACTGACCCAGATTTTGCATCACAGGTCATGTTGAGAGAGTCTGCCGCCAGAGCATTCCAGGAAGAGCATGCCAAGTCAGTGTGGCGTAGGGCCGTGACAGCTCGAAACCGTCCAATGAGAGGACCATATGTCGCCGGACAGTCTGTCTACATGTTCCGACTGCAAAACCGTGGAATGTTTTCCACGCGCCATGGTAGGTGGCTGGGTCCGGGAAAGGTCATCGGGGTTGAGTCATCAAGAGAAGGTCCTATTCCACGAATTGTTTGGGTGTCATACAACGGTTTCCTTTATCGGTGTAGTCCGGAAGGTCTGAGACCGGTTGTTGAAGATGAACAACACTTTCGTTCCCTTGCAAAAGAACTGTCAATAGGATATCATGGTCAAGCCATAGAAGGGGTTCGGGATCATCTCAATAAAGGACAATACCAAGATCTTGTTGGACAACTCCCCAAGCCTGAAGATCATCAACTCAATGAAGATGTTGACATGAAGTCAAAAAACTAGACATCTCTCATTTGAGGACGATGACGGCTTGGAGGGCGCACCAAAGCGAGCCCGCTTTCGCCTAGATCGCAGTGCCGACTATTGGGAACAAAGGTCTAGAGGAATGGAGCCTAGAGGTCATCTTCATGAAGGACCGACACCACATGTGATCCCAATACGTCAAGATCATAGAAACCGACACTCTGAACCAAATAGGCATGTAGGCATATCGGACGACATTGATGTGAGGGAATATAGCCCGACCGAAGTAGGTGATCCTGCCGATGTCAATGGAGCCAATGCCATTGCCGATGCCGAAATGCCTGATGTCGATCAAGAAGTATCAAGGGTAGTACCCGAATTATCCGAAATAGGTAATCCGAATTTGCCAGAGACAACCAATGTTGACGAATCAATGCCGCCTGCTTCAAATGAAGCTGAACCATCCTGGTCTGAACCCGCTGACGAGCCTATGCATGATGTGAATGCAGGAGAACCACCTGCGTTGTCAGGAATCGAAGTGCCTGTTCCCGAAGCCGGTCCTGACGAACTCGCAGTCGAAGGTTATGCCCAAAGCAGTGCACCAGAAGGTCATGTCTTTGAAGTGTCACTGGACATAGTTCCGGAAGATATAACTGATAATCCACTATGCCTTTGGACACTCATTGAAGAAGCCTTTCAAGTGAATACCCCCAAAGCAAAGCAACGCAGGGTCGAGGTTTCTTTTCGTAACTTGAATCCACATGACAAAGCACTCTTCATAGAAGCCATGAAAAAGGAATGGAATTCTTGGATCGAAAATAAGGTAACATCCCTGTGCAAGGCTAAGGGCATTCCCACAGACCGTATAATCCGTGCCCGCTGGGTGCTGGTTTGGAAAAAAGTCATCAGACCCGGACGTAACGTCCAAAACACCTAAGGCGAGGCTTGTGCTCGTTGGGTGGCAGGATCCTGAACTAGGTCGCATCGCGACTGACTCTCCCACTTTGCGCAAGGACACCAAACACCTGTTTCTTTCAGTGTGTGCCGCACAGCTTTGGAAGCTATGGGGTGCAGACATTAAGACCGCATTTTTTGTCAGGAGACGCTCAATGTCGTAACATCTACTTCAGGCCTCCCCAGGAAATTCGAGAATGGATGAAGCTAAGTAATGATGACTTGTTCAGACTCGAAAAAGCAGCATACGGTCTAGCGGAAGCTCCTAGAGCTTGGTTCATGCGACTCACCCGGGAAATGAAAGAAGTAGGTATGATTCAGAGTCAACTAGATCCCTGTTTATTCACACTTCGAAAAGAAGGAAAACTGGTAGGTTTGTGCGGTGTTCATGTAGACGACATCATAGGTGGTGGAACCCACGAAATGATGAAAGCTCTGGAAAAACTGAAGTCTAGACTCCCGTTTGGGGACTATCGCACATACACTATTCGATACACAGGTGTGGAAATAAGACAGGACCCACAAACCATGAACATCGAAATTGGTCAGGAAAACTACATCCACAACCTCGAGCCAGTTGCCACGAAGCCCTTAGGAACTGCGGACACTAAGCTGACAGATCCGTCGATCCTGAGAACTTGTGCAGGACAGCTTGCATGGGTAGCAAATGCAACTAGGCCAGACCAGGCATTCCTCGCCTCCTACCTTCAAGGTATCCAGGATAAAGGCGATAAAGGACATGTGTCTGATGTGTTGATGTTCAATAGAGCTCTTAGGGAGATGAAACATCATAAAATATGCCTGAAGTTTCCAAGCAATATCCCGATTGAATCTTGGCGCATCATTGCGATTGCAGATGCAGGTTGGGGGGAAGCGTGCAAATGGGGAATCCCAAGGTGGATATATTCTAGGTTTGACCACTCAGGAGATGTTCGAACACAAAGAAGCACGAGTGTGGATCGTTGACTGGAGCAGCAAGAAACTGCGCCGTGTTGTCAGATCTTCAGTTGCAGCGGAAACGCTGAGTGCCCAAAATGCGATGGACGCCGTTGAGCTCTTCCAAGCACCCCTCGCTGAAGTGATCCATGGAACATCCCCTCGTGATTTTCGTAACCAAATTCCTCAACATGATTCAGGTGTTGTGGTGGATAGTAAAGGATTTTACGATGCTGTAAACAAGTCATGTTCCAGTCCCACGATTTCGATTGAGAAACGATTGCAGATTGACTATGCAATTGCAAAAGAAACCATGAGAAATCAAAGAATGCTTGTATTTTGGATAAGCAACATTCACATGTGTGCCGACTGCCTCACTAAGCTGAATGGAGATACCACTCCATTATATAAGCTGCTTGAGACCGGAAAGTATCAAATTGTCATTGGTCTTGAGTCTGGTAAGAAAGAGAAAGCAAAAGCCAGATTGAAACAACAAGGAGAAAAGTGAATACATGTCAAGAAAGAGAGACTGCGTCTTGAGAGTTAGGTAGAGCATACCGGGCCGTGTGCATGACAGTGATATCTTTGCACCGCGTAGAGATATAGAATTCAATAGATAACTCTATGCCGCCGAACAAGAACATTTCGTCGAAGGACAAGTGTTCGATTTTTGTGTTAGTTAGGAGACTTGACGGTTAAACCACCGAGCAGCCATTTTTGTGTGCAAGCGATTAAAGGATTGTGTCGCATCCTCGAATTTTCGTACTAGCCATGCAGAGGCCAATGAAGCGAGAAAAGTTGAGCCTTAGCACTCCTCTCTCCGAGGCAGAGTTGGATACAGCTATGTGTCTGATGCTCAGGGCTGCCAAGAATGGTCAGTCCCATATCCTCGACCGCAAGGTTCGTGACTACCAGGATGTCATGGCCGAGCTGGCATGGGAGGGAAAAGAACCAACAGGTTCGATGACGGATGCTCCAAAGCGCCGCATGGAGTATGAGACGGACGCTGAAGGCTGGGACACGGTAGATGCCGTCGATGGTGACTCCGCCATACCCAAAGGACACAGGTCGACATGAGATCCACATGTGTGAGAATTTCCATGTTCCGCTGCCCAAGGATTGCAAGTCCATGAGCGAGTGGGGGAAAACCCGAAATGAGATGGATCGATTCAAGGCCAAGAATTGGACCTACTCCGACATGGTCGATTTGGCTGTCCAGGACAATGCTGCCGGACAGGAAGTGAATCAGTACTTGAAGTGGATCAAGAGCCGCTGTGGAACCGAAGGCGGCAAGAAGATTCCGACCAAGATCACTCAGGGCGTCGACCTTGCCATGTTCTTGGAGCGCATGGGTTGGACCGAAAAGGGATTCAGCCGTGGCTCGACGGAGGGCTTTTCACGAAAATTTTGAGTTGAGGCTTGACTGCCTGTCGCAGTGCACTTAGGCCCCTCATGGAGGGCGTGTTGAAATGTTGAAATGTCATGCGTGGCATGTGACATGATATAACA